AGACCGGGAAATAGAATATAAAATTCTTCCTTTCCCACACCAACCTTTTCCAAGAATTTATCAATCTAGGATTCATCTTAGGAAGTTTATCCCGAATCCCAAGCAGGGATAAGTCTGCGCCTAACACGCGCTGCCGGTTTAGTCTTTCTAGGAAGTTTATCCCGAATCCCAAGCAGGGATAAGTCTGCGCCTAACACGCGCTGCCGGTTTAGTCTTTCTCCGTATAAAAAGACACCAGAGTTTGATTCTGGGGTATTCTATCTTGAAACCTAAGTAGGGATAAGTCTGCGCTTAACCCGCGCTGCCGGTCAGTTCTTAACCGTTAAAAAGAACACCCGCCCACATATTCAATATTGTGGCAGGTTGTTATTAATAATACCAAAATCCAGGCCTTACACGCATGGAAAATTTCATCCTGAATCCTAAGAAAGGATATACCAACGCCTAACACGCGTCGCCGGTTTAGTCTTTTTCCGTAGAAAAAGACACCAGAGTTCGATTCTGGGGTATTTTATCCAGAAGCCTAAGTAGGGATAAGTCAGCGTCTAATACACGTTGCTGGATGGCCTATTCCCATAACAATGGCTAAGTCTACATATTCGAAGTCGTAGCAGCAAAGTCTCAGAGAATTCACTCTCTTAGCACAACGTTATATGCGGAACGGATTTAGACAATCTGCATGCTAGCCCGACTCAAACGGTAGTCGGTAAAGGCTTATCAAACCCGTTGAAGGCTGCGGGTTAGCCAAAAATCCTAAAGTCAACACCTAACACTTGTCGCCGGGTAGCCTATTCCCGTAACAAATGGTGAAGCCTATGTATTCAACATCATAGCACAAAGTCTTAGAGAGTTCACTCTCTTAGCACAACGTTACATGCGCAACGGATTTAGACAATCCGCATGCTATCCCGATTTAAACGGTAATCGGTAAAGGCTTATCAAACCCGTTGAGGGCTGAGGGTTTGCCAAAAATCCTATGAGTATTATGGTCAATCATTTCAAACAGAATGAGGAATCATAATAAAGATAAAGATAAAAACCAGTTCCACTAAGAGAATCAAAAGTCAAAATATTCAGGAAATAAAATCATACATCAAGCCCATGGCTAAAAATCTGCTGACTAAACTTAGACAGCTTCTCATCATAAGCTTTCCTAAGCTCATCCTGCAACTCAGCTCTGATGGACTCTTCAGTTGTGGCTAGAGTCTTCACAGCAATCTCCTCCGTCTCAACCAGCTTCTGCTTCAGGGATTTCAACTCATCAGATAAAGCAGTGTGGGCTTGCTGATCCTGTACCTTCGTCATCTGAAGAATACTCAAAGTCTCCTCTTTCTCACGGAGTTCTCTTCGGAGCTGGTCTATCTTGGTCTCACAAGAGGTAATAGAAAAATCAAGCTTGTCGAGTGAAGATGATCTAATAGCAAGGTTAGCCTCAACTCGGTCTACCCGGTCCCGCTGCACCTGAATCTCGAGCTCAGCAAAAATCCAAGTATCACGCCATGTCTGTAAGTGAGCATCCAAATGGGCAGCAATGAATGAAGAAGCACCTGCATCCCGGAGCTCACAAAACATCTGAAGCTCGTGCTCTAGACAATCAAGGTCATCAACTATAGCCTTCGCCAGATCCGAGTATCCTGCATCCCTTATCGAATTTATTCTAGAATCAAGGAAAGGTTTAAACTGGTGAAGGAAAAGTCCGCCGTGGAAGAGTTTGCCAATCATAGCATTCACAAAGGAGAAGAAAGAGCGACAAAAGTTCCTGGCAAACACAAAACGGAATTCTCAGATGCATCACATTATAGTTGCATTAGTCAAAAATTGGCTAGTCCTATAATTAACTTGAGAAGAGGCACGTACCTTCAGAAGAACCATCCTCAGGATTCTTAGGGAGTGTAGACTCAGGAAACATATCTCCAGGCAATTGGTCATCAATCTGAGGAGAACCATACATGAAGTGGAGCATAGGAGTGTCAACAAGCAAACCTTCCTCGTCAAAATCATCAGTCGAGAAATTTGACACAAGAGAAAATAAGAAAAAAAAGGAATAAAGAGACTACAACCAATGGAAATGAGTTACCTCTCATGGGTGTGTTAGCCTCTCTACTCCCAGGGTCCACGCTTGCCTCCTGCAATTTATCTAAAAAGAACAAGAAGCATAGAGACAATTAGGGAATGCACGAATTTTGAATCGTTCAACTCCTTTGTGTGCCATCTAAAGGATATATTGTCAATAGTAGATGTACCTGGATTCGCTGAATCGGGTCCTATATTGATAGTCTCTTTAACGTCGGCAGCTTCTCACCAGAAGATACAAAATCATGAGGAGCAGGATCAGGACTCATCTCACTATCCCCACGATCTCCTACATAGAGATGGAAAAGCATGAGTCAAAGTTCTGAATGATCAAGAGGATGATCTATAGGGTAGAGGTTACCTCCGTCGCTAGCGGGATCATCACCAGCCAAATCTATCTCAAATGCTCGCGAATCTGCACGCAGCTTACGGGCTAATCTCTTCCGCCTAGCAGCAGGGACAACAATCGAGGATCTCGCCTGGGAAAAAGGACGGAATTCTTCATCCTTGTCAGCTACAGTCCCAGAAACATCAAACAACTGTCAAGATTAATAATTCTGGAAGACAGAAGGAAAGGATAAGTAGCTAACCTTGCTCAGAACAGTCCTCGTAATCTTCAAGATCTTTGCCTGAAGCCTCATCAGCAGAATGGAAGATCTTCTTTCCCTCTTCGTTAATCCGATGAGTCTTGCTCTGTGCCCTCTGTGACCGAGCATTTTCCCAAATAACACGAGAATCAGCCTGAGAAGCTTCCTCGGCCACTAGCTCTACAATCGGCTTCACGGGGATAGTTTTATTAGCTGCTAACAACCACCTGCATTTTAAGAAAGTGAGATTCAACTACCGCTCAGCACTCAGGAGAATAAACTTAGCACCAGTGCAACCCGTCACGGTCCACAGCCATGCTCGGAGACCGTCCACTAAACCGCCATGAGTCAGAGGCTACTGACGTGGATTCCCGACATAAAGCTGATCATAATTTAAAAACTGGTGGGCGAATCGGCAGGGTAAATATGGCTCTATGAAACACTGATTCCTCACCCAGAAGGTCAAATAACCAGGCCTAATATTCATTAGCCAGTTAAAGCAGCCGACATATAAATGAGTTTGATACTCCTTCGGCCTCTCCTCTTCAATCAAACACTCGCCATATCGGCTGAAGAACTGTGGGAAGCAAGTGGAAAATACCCAACACTTATGAACCTGTAGCTGCTTTCTGATATCAGGGAATCCTCGCCCCTCCCACCTGCATTCTCAAGCAGCTGTAGTAAGGGAACAGAGTGGTCCATGGCATGCGGTACCGACATCATGTCAGAACGATGAAGGACGAACCAAGCCATCAAATAGGTGTATGGGAGCTCCACCTTAGAAAGAGGAATCTTAGCCGACGGTGCATCTTCTTTCTGTGTGAAGGTACTAGAAATCTGTCGAAGCCCTCGATGAATGTTAGCCACCATCACCGGAAGAAGCGAAAGTTCCTTTTTGTAGGCAAGTTGAACCGCTGGGTAGAGCACTTCCAATGGCAAAGTGTCACCGGACTGATACGGGACCACGCATTTCTTTAACCAGATAGCGAGGTAACCGGCAAGAAGGGTCATCGGCCGAATAGACGCGGTCACATGCCATAAGTATGATTTAAATTTGGTCCTTGCAGGAAAGCCACTCTCGGGACTGCTAATGGTATAGGAATGAGCGTCAATCTTCTTCAACAGACCATTAACTTCTGAAGGAGTAAGCGTTGCCAGTTCACAAATAGCCTCGCCAGAATTGCTCTCTAGATTCTTGAACAGATAACACGCAAACTGCTTCAGACTCACGTGTGACTTAGTCCTATTCGCTAAAGGCTCAGACTGCGCCAAAGCAATATGGTAGTGACATGTAAGATCCCATAAAGTCTCATAGCGGTCGGGCATGCGGTCCTTCAGCTGACTCAACTCATGGTTAGAGGGAAAGTACTCCTGATATAGCATCTGACCCATGGGCAAACCAGAAATCTTGTGCATCTCATGAAGAGCCAAGCCCAACTTCCTGTGCATCTCATGGAGAGCCAAGCCCAACTCTCCGTGCCTAGTCAGAAAAGTGTTCGAATCCGGGTTATAGAGCTCGCACAAAGCGAAGAAATGCTTCGCGCTGACAGGTAAGCCATACATGGTGGAACGAATGGCTGCATATAGACCACAAGCGTGCAACTCCTCACTCCATCGTCTTAAGATGTACTTCGTCATACGAGCCCACCAAAGCTTATCCAGAGAATGAACCCAGCCAGAATCTGTGGCGCGTCGCAGGTATCTCCCGTCCTAAGGTGGCGAGACGATTCTTCAAAGTAGATGCAGAAGCAAGAAATTCATTACGTGGCGGTGCATCCAGCCCCAATACTCCAGGACACAATCGGAGCTACCTGATGAGTGATATAGCCACAGTGAACGCTCTCATGCTCCTCCGTCAAGCGCCACGACATCTCCCGTGTCACAGCCTGACGCCTGAGCTCAGTCAACGAGCGGTGTCGAGGAATCTTAGGCAAAAAAAGAAAACCACTATCATTTTTATGAAGCCACTGCTCAGCGTCAATAAATACTGCATCAGGATCTCTAACAGAGTCACCAAACAACGCTACCCCCCCCATCCTGTCGACCATCGAGTTGACATGGATTCCCTAGACTCAGTCCTCGAACTGATGACAGGAAGAGTTTAACTCTCACATCGATGGGATATAACCTTTTTTTTGGTTCTTGTTTCCTCTGAGAAACGAGAATTTTTTTGAAGATCCTACTCTTGTTGTGCAGCAGAGGTGCTGCCGAAATTTTCACTGCACACAACAAGGGTTTGACTGGAGCCTTTGTGCACACAGAAGCCAAGGCTCTCTGAAATATCATTATCCTGCTCCGGATCTCTACTACTGACTACTATCTATCTACCATTGTTGAAATATGACTACTACTTCGATGTCTGATATCTCATCATCTACTACTCCTGTTGTTGCTGGAGAAACCTCTGCGCCAAAAGTAGTCTTGGGGACTACAATTAAGTTGAATGGTACTAACTATCTGCTCTGGGCACAAGCTTTCCGGATCTTCATTGGCGCTCAGAGCAAACTGCCTCATCTTCTGGCATCTCCACCACCACCATCTGATCCCACCTACAACTCATGGCTCTCCTCTGATTACTGTGTTATGACTTGGCTTCTCAACAGTTTGGATGCACAGATCAGTAGCAGTGTTATGTTTTTAACCACTGCAAAGGAAATGTGGGACAGCCTGAAGATTATGTACGGGAATGAGAAGAATGTTTCCCGTGTTTTTGAGATTTATGAGAGACTATTTGCGATCAAACAGGGCGATAAGACAGTTCCAGAGTTCTTTGGTGAGTTGAAGGGACTGATAGACGAACTAGAAATGCATCAGCCTGCAGTAGCTGATGCGGCGACATTGTTGGGGTATCGCCGCGATCTGGCTGTCTCCAAGTTTCTTTCTGGACTGCACCCTAATTTACAGTCTCAGGTACGGGGACAAATATTGGGTGGCGATTCGATTCCCTCCCTGACTGCTACATTCTCCAGAGTCATGCAGGTCTCTACTGGTGTTTCTTCTGATACTTCTGCACCGTCTCCACCTTCAGTGGATCAGTCTGCCATGTTCTCTAGTAGAGGCAGAGGCCGCGGTCGTGGTCGTGATTCTTTGGGAGGACGTGGCTCTTTTAGTGGGAGACAGGGTGATTCTGATAGGGGTTCACGTCAGTGTGGTCATTGTGGGAGGACCAATCATATTTCTGAGAAATGCTGGGAGAAGTTTGGTCGTCCTTAATGGGCCCAAGTAGCCGATGCCGAGTCGACTCGCTCACCTATTTCTACTACTATTTCTAGTAATCCAGCTACTACTGTTCAGATTTCTCAGGCAGATTATGAGAGGTTACGCCAGCTAGAGATCTCTCAGAACAGTCATTCGGCTACTCATGCATCCTCTTCAGGTATGGATGCTTACATAGCTTCTCCTCATGAACCATGGGTACTAGATTCTGGAGCCTCATCCTATATGACAGGTATAAAGGATCGTTTTGTCTCTTTACATCTTTCTGATAAGCTTCCCTCTATTCGCATCGCTGATGGTACACTTTCTCCAGTTCTTGGTGCTGGAGTAGTTCATGCTACTTCCTCTTTGAAACTCACTGATGTGTTATATGCTCCTAAATTCCCTGTTAGCTTATTATCCATTAGCAAGTTTACAAAGCACAATAACTGTAAAGTCACCTTCTTTCCTTCTTATTGTGTTTTTCAGGACCTAGCAACTGGGATGACGATTGGTTCGGGGCATGAGAGAGGAGGTATGTACTATTTGGACGACAGTGTGCCGGGTGCTGGTCTTGTTGCAGCACAGCCTGATTCTACCTTACTGTGGCACTGGCGTTTGGGTCATCCTTCACTACAGAAACTTAGATCGGTAGTTACTGTTCAGTCTTCCCTTTCTTCTTTAGGTTGTGAGTCATGTGAACTGGGTAAGTACCATCGTGCTTCTTTTCAGAGTCGTGTCGATAAACGCAGTAGTTTTGCGTTTGAGTTAGTTCATTCTGATGTCTGGGTCCTTGTCGTGTTCCCTCTGTGAAGGGTTTTCGATATTTCATTGTTTTTGTTGATGATTTCTCTCGCATGACTTGGCTATATTTGTTGAAAGAGAGGTCTGAAGTCTCGCATGTTATTGAACTTTTTTATAATGAAATAAAAACCCAGTTCTCTACTTCTGTTCATATTCTTCGTACTGATAATGATTTGGAATATATGAAAAATGACGTTTCAAAATTTTGTGCTCTTAATGGTATTATTCATCAAACTTCATGCTCTCACACTTCACAACAAAATGGAGTTGCTGAGAGGAAGCATAGACATATTCTCGATGTTGCTAGAACACTGATGATACATATGAATATTCCAAAGTACTTGTGGTCGGATGCTGTCCTCACTGTCTGTTATTTGATTAATCGCATGCCTTCCTCTGTTCTTGATGGTTTGATACCATTCCACTATCTTTATCCTGCTAAAAAACGTTTTTCTATGATTCCTCTAGTTTTTGGTTGTACGTGTTTTGTTCAGGATTTGACTGCTGGTTTGGATAAATTGTCTCCTAGGTCCATTAAGTGTGTGTTTGTTGTATACTCACGTACTCAAAAAGGGTATAGGTGCTATCATCCGACCACCAGGAGATATTTTATTTCTGCTGATGTTACTTTTTTTGAGTCTGTCTCATATTTTTCCTCTGGTTCCACTACCTCTGTCAGTCCACAGGTGCCACTACCTTCTACGGCTCCCACTACTATTCCGGTATCTGCTCCTGAGGCTACTGCACCAAAGCCTCTACTGACATACTCTCGCCGTCCTAAAGTACATACACCTGTCTCTGCTCCTGCTGACTCTTCTTCTCCAGCTGCAGGTCCATCTCATGTCGAGCCTCATATCTCTTCTGACTTAGATGTTCCTATTGCTCTTCGTAAAGGTAAACGGTCTTGCCCAAAATATCATATCTCTCTTTTTGTCTCTTATGACCGTCTCACCTCATCATTTCGTCAGTTTGCTTTGTCATTGTCCACTATATCTTTACCCAGGTCACATGAGGAAGCTTTGTTAGTACCCGCCTGGAAACAAGCTATGGATGAGGAGATGAATGCACTGCTTTCTAGAGGGACTTGGGATTTGGTCTCTCCACCTGCTGGAGCGACTGTGGTTGGCTGCAGATGGGTGTATACCTTGAAATATCGTCCTGATGGGTCTGTTGATAGATATAAAGCTCGTCTGGTTGCTAAAGGATATACCCAGACATATGGTATTGACTATTTTGAAACCTTTTCTCCCGTTGCTCGTCTCAACTCCATCAGAATTCTTCTCTCTGGCTGTTAATATGGATTGGGCGATGCACCAACTAGATGTAAAGAATGCTTTCCTTTATGGTGATTTGGACGAGGAGGTTTATATGGAGCAACCTCCTGGGTATGTTGCTCAGGGGGAGAAAGGCTATCTATGGGTTAAAGCAGAGTCCTCGAGCTTGGTTTGATAAGTTCAGCAAGGTTATTTCTAATGTTGGTTTTCAACGTTGTCAGTCTGATCACTTTGTCTTTCTTCGACGCACAACAACTGGTTTGGTTATTTTAGCCGTATATGTTGATGATATTCTGCTGACTGGGAGTGACTCTGTTGCCTTAGCTGAGACTAAAGAGTATCTAAACCGTCATTTTGTCACTAAGGACATGGGAAAACCAAAGTATTTTCTTGGGATTGAAGTTGCATATAAAAAACATGGTCTGTTGTTGTCCCAAAGGAAATATGTGCTAGATTTACTAGAAGAAGCATGTCTCTTGGAATGCAAACCTGCAAGCACTCCAATGGAGGCAAATGTTGATTTGTGGCGTGATGATACCTCTCTACTAGATGCTGCTGCACGATATAGGAGACTAATTGGGAAGCTAATATATTTGACAGTTACCAGACCTGATATTACTTTTGCAGTAGGTGTACTGAGCAGGTTTATGCACAAACCTAGAGAGGTTCATTGGACAGCAGCTCTGAAGATTTTGGCATATGTCAAAAGTTGTCCTGGCAAGGGATTGTTATATAAGAAGCATGGGCATACTCACATTTCGGCTTTCTCTGATGCTGGCTACGCAGGAGACATGGGAGACCGAAAGTCAACCTCAGGATTTTGTACTTTTGTTGGAGGTAATCTTGTGACTTGGAGAAGTAAGAAACAAGATGTAGTATCACGATCTAGTGCAGAGGCCGAATATAGAGCAATGGCTCACACTGCTTGTGAGATGGTGTGGCTAAGAAAGTTTATGACAGAGCTTGGTTTTGTTCAGTCTGGACCCATGCCAATGCATTGTGACAACCAGTCTGCCATTTATATTGCACAGAATCCTGTGTTTCATGAGAGGACAAAACATATTGAAGTTGACTGCAATTTTGTCAGAGATGCTTGGGAGAAGAAGATAGTATCTCTCACATTCACTCCGTCCTCACAACAACTTGCTGATATTCTTACAAAGGCTACTTCTTCAAAGATGTTTTCTACTATATGTGACAAACTGGGCATGGTGGATATTTATGCTCCAGCTTGAGGAGGAGTGTTAGATTAAGTCTATTGGGTATTGGGTTAATGGGCTGTGACCCGTTAACCATACCCTTATTTGTATGACTATATATATATATATATATATCTCTAGTATCTGAATAAATCAATGAAGTTAGGGTTTTTGCTCTCTCAATTATCTCTTTCTACAATCACAATGCAGTAGCAAAACTGTTTCTTCCAGAATATTGAACTAGGGAGCAGTGGCTTTTAATGATAAAACCAACCACTTCATCCGAGTAAAGGAATGGTTTTAGTGTATAAAATATCGGCTGCTAACAATGACTTGGTTGTATATGTTATACCTCTTTACGAGCTACATAGAAGAAAACTTATTTTAAATACTTATCTAGTATATGAGACACCCTTCTTAAAATCTAGAGATTCCTAATTGCATCTATAATTATTTCCAAAAGAAGTTCCCATAGTGGAAATTTAATCATGGATACAAATTTTAGAAGATAAATAATAATAAACTACACATGAAAATCCATGCACATCATTTGTGAATAACTCTACCTTTCCACCATCTTGGTCACTCCATCTTGAGTTGCAGCTTGGAATCTTTGCCTCTTCAATCTTCTGCTTTTCAAGTAGCTGAGCACCTCTTTTCGCCTTCGCCTCAGCTCCTTTCAAATATTTCGTGGGATTACCCTGGTCATCATAGTAACGACCAGCAAGTTTACCTACAAATCTGACATTTACAAAATGAGTTCAAAGATATCAGGCAACACATCATTTAAAAAAAAGATGCAAGGTTAAACAGGGGCAATAGAACAAATGAAGACATCTTGGAGATGCCATAAACGTCAAGAAATTGCTATGCAGTGTGCATCCAAATTGAGATGGTTGGACAGCATAAATGGGAAGGAAGAGTGATAAGATTGTTGACAGAAGAGATGGGAAGGATGAGATAATACAACAACAACATCATCAAAGCCTTTATCCCAAACGTTTGAAGTTGGCTACATGAATCCTATTCTTTCATTCCATTCTTTTATGGGACATCTCCTCCATTAAGTTAATCATAATCTTATCCTTCTTAATTGTTTCTAACCAAGAATGAAAATGAAAAATTGTGAAACTAAAACAAATATGAAAAATGTGAAACAAAAACATGATAAATGTGCTGTTATTAGGAATAACCAAACGAGAAGGATCTATAAGAAAGTTCTAAATAGCACAAGGAATTGAAGATACAATATGGTTCGGATCGATCATCTCGTTTCACCGGAATCAATGATCTGCGAAGGTTGAAGCGCAACTCCTTTGGATCATAAAAGCAGATGTCTTAACATAGTTTCAAGAGAGGTGGAAGGTTATGAGCTGCCTTTATGTGTTTATTTTCTGTAATTGCAACATGGCAGTTGTATACAACTGAAGCCAGCTGCAAAATGTACAAGATGTATGATTTTATCCTTTCCTATGCAGATAACAACCTTCTGATGCCTATGCATGTTCTTAATTCATACCAGCTCTCACATTCTGAACATGGACTTATTTTTGTTGGGAGAGATTAATATTATAATAGAAAAGTCTATCATAAACAAGAAACAATCGAACAAACCCTATGACAGAATAAGGTACTTTACTTACATGTATCTTTCATGGTAAAACTTCCGCCAATCAACAATACTATTCACCTATAATGAAAGAAAACCATTTACGATGAGTTTCATATTCGCACAAATCGCACCAGTACACTCGGAATTTTGGGAAAATAAGAAATGACAAACCCCACAAAATGTAAAAAAGAAGTGCAAGAATGAAATATTTTCTTATTATTCTTCAACTTTTGAAATGAGGAACTCCCGGATTGTACGATTATCCTTGGGTAAGAAACTTTGGATCTGATGTTGTGACAAATATTAGCATGAATGAACAACATGCAACCCAAAAGAGGAAACAGATGGAAGACATGTAAACCATAGTTCAAAATTTAACATGCAAACATCAACAAAAGAATCAGTTCAAAATTTAACATGCAAACATCAACAAAGGAATCCCAATAAGGCAACTCCAATCTTAAATAAAGTTCCTTGTCAAATTCCATACCACTATTTGTCTCATGCTTAGAAGAGATAAACGCAGAATGATTCCATATAGGCCATTCTAAGAAAAGATGTATAGTCTGTATTGTATTAAGGGCCTAATCATTATTACTAAAGAGGAACAGAAGAGGATTTTTTATTATGTTATAAACTTGCAAAACATGATTTAATACACATGTAAAACTCACAGATTGGTCTCCACAGGGGCCGTAGTATGGGACACTTCCACATACCCTGATGCTTGATACCAATGTGATATACCCAACACTAGTGATTGTATTCCCATGGACTTCTCTGACCATTACAATGTGGTTCATAGTTTGCCAATTTATTTAGTCTTAAAGACAATTTGGGTCTGAGATAAACAAACACGATGGACATCTATGAAAAGGAGTTGCCAGGGCACCAGGGCAGGCATGCACTGGCTTCTTCTTCTTCTTGCTTTTATGTGTGTGTCTAGATGATGGCTTTTATGGATATAGGCATTCGAAGATAACAGAAGGCTCTATACATGTAACTATAATGTTCTAGAAGTCATCCAAGAAAAATCACACACACATGTTAAAGCTCTTACTATGGATATAATAGAAATTAACAATGCCTTGACAAGTTTATGTCATACTTGATGTTCTAAAGAATTCCAATGTCAGGAAACCTGACAGGTTACAACTAAAAGAAAATGAGTGGTCTTAAATTTACCTCAGTACTTGTGAGACCAAGCAATGAATCAGTTAATCCATCCCCTGCGAGAAAGGAGAATGATGATAGCAAAAGCATGTGAATATCGTGAGATAGTATAGAAAAACTAATATTTCTAATCTAAATATATACAAATATGAACATACTCATAAAATAAATAAAATAATGAGGTTTACAGTTTGGACTTGGTTTTACCAGCTCTTTTTTTCCAGTGAAATTACACTACTAATGGAATAAAGCACCAGATTATAGGTATAGGTCAGTAAGTAGCTTAAATCATCAGGTTTGAAGTGTTCTATGGCTTGTCAATCCTTACCTAAAAGGAAAATTAAACTAAACAATTTTTATGTTTACACACATAAAATCACAATAAATACAAGGAACTGCACGAATAGAACAAAAAAAATTTATGAAACTTGCCTGTAAAATTTCCTGAAACAAAAGCGCGTGATGCATCTCTGAAATTCATGCAACAATCATATGTTAGCAACAAGGGCACAGTAGAAAGCTATTCAAGAATGATTAAATATAATACAATGTTACATTAAACGCTAGGCGCTCCTAGGCGCCGGACTTGGCGCCCAGCGCTTAGACGCCTAGGCGGGCGCCTAAGCGGTTTCTGGGCGGTTTTTTTCTTTTCTTTTTTTAATTGTGATACTTGAAGATATATATATATATATATAACAACAAGAATTACTTATAAACTTAAAATGAACTTAAAATTAAACTTAAACAATTAAACAGCCCCATGATTACATATTTACTTTCTCTTTCAAAATTCTGAGATTTACAGTTTAAACTTAAACAATTAAACTTAATATAATATAAATATATTAAGTTAACATTTAATAAAAGTGGATTAATGTGTGAAAACATCGTTAATGTTGCATAATCTTGCATAATCTGTACATGTTTACGAGGTTTAAACATGAAGTTGTGTAATACAAATCCAAAGTTATCTGTGCAAATAAAAAAAAGGGGGGAAATCCAAAATATCCAAAATTATCTGTGCTAAGCGTCTTTAGCCATTTACTTACAGAGGAGATGAAGACGAACTTGAATAAGAAGCTCCCAGTTGAAGACGAACTCGAAGACGAAGCTCCCAGTCGAAGACGAAGCTCCCAGGCAGTTTCGAAGACGAACATGAAGAGTGAAGACCAATTCGAAGACGAACTTGAAGACAAACTCGAAGATGAACTCGAATACGAGCTCGAAAGTTGAGCTCGAACTCGAAGACGAGCTCCCAGGCAAGATCGAAGACGAGCTCGACGAGATCGAAGACCAGATCTCGGTTGAAGACAAGCTCGACGGAATTGAAGACGAGCTCGACGGGATTGAAGATGAGATTGAAGACTGGCGGCGTGGAGAGAGTGAAATTAGGGTGAGGCGGCCCGCTTAGCCTTGGGCGGCCGCCTAGGCGCTTCCAGCGCCTAAACGTGGCCGCTCAGGGCATTTCTGCACGCCCTGAGCACCGCCTCCGCCTAGGCGGGCGCCTAGGCGGCCGCCCAGGCCGTTTTTTAGAACACTGATATAATATACGAAAATGAAAATCAAAAAGCAACATAACACTTCTGCAGAAGTAAAAAAATTGAGTGCCTCACAGTGAGGGCCAAGTTTTGGTCCATATACATATGCACCCATATACATATTTAAATACATATATAGATAACTATACACCATAGCATTTGTATTTATGTTCATTAGGGGCTTATTATCATTTTGATTGTTATTGCCCTAGTTGGACTACTATTTATGTACATTGTTGTTACAGTTTGTTTTACTTGGTATTATTATCGGTGTTACTATTATTATGTTACATGAATGGGACTTTTGTTTGCCGGTTACAAGCTATTCCACTCATGTACTGTAAGAGGAATTATCTTTGTTATTATTACAGTCAGTGAAAAATGCCTTCTCCTTTTCCATATTGATATTTTCTCTTGAGCACCTTGTCTTGACCACCAGATGGCAAGGTTCAAGTCCAACAATGAAAAATACCATCTTGCATTGACTCTTAGATTATATGATAGGATAAATCGGGTCATTCTAGTTGTTAAATGAGCCTTAAATAGGGGTTGAGAACCAAATTAAAGCTTAAGCTATTACGTATTGGTCATAAATTTCTATTTAACTCAACCACTCTTTTCTAATTATTCCAGTGTGGGGAGTAAGGAGTCTATCAGAACACTCTATAGAAAGGGATGATCTATATTATTCATGGGTGGTTACGACGGATCGTTTGGGAATTACAGCTCCTTTATTTATGGTGTAGATCACCTCATTCCTATACTGATTGTTCTGATAGGACCTGTGCTGCAGTGTTGGGCTATACTCACACATGAAATTCCCAACGTATTATATGTACAAAATTTCGACATAATTACAGGTGTGCAAAATGCCCTTGCAGGTCACTAACAACAGAATTCTCCCTTTTTCATAAAGTAGTTGGGTCTAATACCCAAGATCTAAATTAAACCAACAACACCTTCAACCCAATAGGAGAAAACAAATAATGCCAACGCTATCATATTTGTACCAACTTTAATATATATTTACAAAAATTAGCCCAATCCTAAAATTCAAAAAATGCATAAAATTCAGACCAAAAAAATTTAACCTGCCAGCAAAATGATGGTAGCCGCCTCCAGGACCATAATGTGATCTTCCCTTACTTACATCAAACACTGAGCTGTTCAGCGTTCACAAATCATCCATCAATTACAGAAACAAAAAATACTATTAGACGATATCCCAGAAAGTAAAATATATTAACAAAAAAAGTTAAGAACGAAAAAAAATACCCAAGAATCCCTAACAAAATAGGCAATCTCTCATCAGTCCCATTATAAGCAGTCAATTCCTCGGCGGTCCACAGACTCTAATCGTTGCAAATTACGGTTAAAAACGAGGATTTTTTGCGAATCCGAACAAAAATCGGACGAAGTGAAAACTTACAGTTTGAGCTGGTCTCTTGTAGTAGAAATTGACGATGACGGCGGCGACGGCGACCAGAAACCCTAACCCTAAACTTAACCCTAGAAACGAACGACTCAGAGCTCTAGATGATAATGATGATGATGATCGATGCTCCATCGTCGCTTCTTCTTCCTTCATCCCTGCGCGGTCGGTGAACGCTCAAAAGTGTCGTTTCTATTTTTAGTTTTATTTTTTTAACGAAAATTTAACTTATTGATAGTCGAGCTCAAAGTTTTGTTCTAAATTTTATTAATACGGCTACATAATTATGACTACCTAATTTGGTCAGCTAAAATTATTGTAAATTATGATTAGGCTAATTGCTCTACCAAACATATTACTTTAATATAAATTTACCATAATCTGAGGTGCTTAAATATTTTAAATCTTAAAGGACCTCTTTACAATTTTGACTGACATAACTAATTAAATGCTTACCTTGGTGAGTAGAGCAGGCTAAAACTATAGTTCAAAATAGCCATATTTGCTAACCCCGGTTATTTAGAAAATTAATTAACCATGTTACTAATTAGTCAGGGTTGACAATCCTAATTAATTAAAAAGAAATCTTTTGACCTAGTTAAAACTGGGTCAATTTTTGTAAAGAAGTTTGAAATGGATCCATTTTTATGAATAAAGTTATAAATGAGTCTTTTTTGAAAATTTCTAACTACAACTTACTCCCTCACTAAAGCTTAGTTTTTTTTTAATTATTAAATTAAATGTATTGTAGCTGTGGAGAAATCAAACTAATTATTTTCTGTTATGAGAGCAACTTCACGATCATCGTACTATTAGCTGTTTTGGACCTTATTTCTGAAGACCCAATTTGGTATATTTCAGTACAAACAAACTCGGACTGGACTCTGACACAGTGAGCAACAGTTAAGGCCCATATTCTAATTAGGTTTAATGTATAAACAAGTCAGAACTTTGGTCTAACTTAAGAGGCCCATTTGGTCTAACTTACGTGGTCAACCTAAGCCTTGAGGCCTTGAGGCCTTGTGGCTAACTTCATGTTTGTACTTACCAAACAAAATAAATTAAAAATTTAGCGGTATATTAGATGTCCAAGCGTTACCCCAATCGTAGCATATTACATCACGTAAATGGGAAAAGGACAGTCTAATAAAATTAGAGTCTAAGGTAAATTGACAAAATTAGAGTCAGATACTTCGAGCTTTTTAGGTTGACCACGCAATCCAATAGAACTTGGAAAAGTATTGTGGGCTGGGCTTTAACAATTCAATATTTTAAGAACGGTAAAGAACAACACGTAGAATCTTAAGCGAGAGAGAGAAAATGCATCTTCCAAATTCTTGAAGCCCACAAAATACAAAAACAAAATTTATTTTATTGCTGTGGGAATTATGTTGAAAGCTAGTTAGATTAGCATATCCCCTTACTTTCTTTGAATAAATATAGTTGCACGCATATGCATGCCTTTGAGATGTTAGCGTGTGTACACAATCCTTTCATAATCAATTCTGAATAAATAAGTGGCTATATATACATATTTAATTTCTGGAAAAAAAAATATCATGTATTTATTCTCTTCACGCGATTTGATCCTGTCCTTCTCTTATCCAGACCAAAATATCTGCGAGTGTTCACAACAACTACCTTGCTTGTTTTGATATTTTTTTTTTAATAAATAAATTTGTAATGTCTCTATACGCGTTCAGTGCCGTCCCAACATTGAGATCCCACAACGCGTCACCGACGCGGCTTGATGATCGATCAAAGATTCAAAATGCTTAATGCTTGTTAGTCATGACGAAGACATAATTACTTAACTTGATAGCTTAAAATTAAGTAGCCAACAGTGATTGGTGTTTGAGATATCGGTGTTGCTTAATGCTTAATCTTTATTAATTAGTCCCCATAATTTATTTGACCGACCAGGCGCACGAACAAGGAGCTATGCTTAAAGCACGCACGTCGACACGTCGTAATATCGTGGAATTAGAATATAATCAGGGTATACGTTGTTGATTGGTTATGATTTTTCTGTTGGGAATATTAGCTGTTTAGACAATAATTAACACGAAATTATGTTTTGAACAGACGACTAATATCAGATAAAAACAGATTAATATTTTATCAGAGAAATAAAATTAATTGTAACAAAAAATAAATAGGGTTAGAAATACGGCCTGATGGTCGAGGCGTGCAAGGCACTGTCTCAAGAATCTAATTGCCCTCTCTCGTACAGGGCTACGCGGCAAAAGTTCTCGGAGATACAACGACCCTCGGTTAGGCGACCTCGTTCTCGTCGGCACGAGCTTCAAGAAGGCTTTGCGAATTCTTCTCAACTTTCAGGGAACCAACAAATCGTAATTTAAAATGTTCTAATTTGCAAGAAATAAAAATTTAAAATGTAGCGAATTAAGAGCCCCTCAATCCGGAGCTGCATTCGTGTTCGCGGGTCGTGGGGCGCACGCCACCCAAACCAGAGCCCGGCCCGCCGGCGCACGCGTGTGTGGTGTGGAGCATAACCTATATTTTCTTCTAGGCATAAGAGAGAAGGGAAATGCTTATAAACACCCTTCCTTCCTATTCCATTTACTATGTGGGACTTAACTTATTATAACTCCAACATTTTCTAGTGGGAAAATCCTGAAGTTTGATTTTAGCAGATGGACCGCATGTGTATTAAAAAAAGAAAAATAGCGGGCATAATCCTTCTGTAGAGCATCCATTTGCGTATCCAAGAGATAGAACATTAACGTATTCTTCTACGTACGTACTATGCATTATGAAGTATATAAACTAACTATTTGTCCTTTGGGTATTTGACAATCCTTGGCACTTTTATTGATCCCAATATTGGGAAATTTTCTTGAACATTTCCTTCCAGGATTGAT